CTCCAGCCTGTCCAGGTCTCTGGATGACGTGAATGCATTTACTCAGACTAGGAAGGATCAAGACTGACTGATGGGTTGATAGAAAGGTGAATTCAGTGCAGCTGAATGTGAAGTGAAACTTGGGGTTAAGAATCCAGATTTCATACCTGTGGTGCTGAACTCTGAGCAGTGCAAGAGCCAATTCTTCACCTGAAGGTACATTTGAACGAAGACATGTGCTCCGTCTTCAGTAACAGTCAAAAAAGCAAACTGACCCTTTGGGTTAATTAGGAGAAGGAAACCCAAAGTCATCTGTCAATCCACGATGTGTCTTTATCTCAGTTACTGTGTATGGATGAGATGCAAATGTTGCGCAGTGGCTGCCAAGCTTTTCTGTTTGTGTAATGCTTATCATCTCCTTCATTATAGAATCCCAGACTGGTCTGGGCTGGAAGGGACCTTAAAGCTCATCCAGTCCCAACCCCCCTGCCAGCAGCAGGGACACCTTCCACTAGACCAGGTTGCTCAAAGCCTCATCCAGCCTGGCCTTCAACACTTCCAGGGAGGAGCAGCCACAGCTTCTCTGGGCAACCTGGGACACTGTCTCACCACCCTCACAGTGAAGAACTTCTTCCTAATATCTAATCTAAACCTCCCCTCTTCCAGTTTGAAGCCATCACCCCTTGTTCTCTCACTCCCTGCCCTTGTCCAAAGTCCCTCCCCAGCGTTCCTGGAGCCCCTTCAGGTACTGGGAGGCCACTATAAGATCTCCCTGGAGCCTTCTCTTCTCCAGGGTGAACAGCCCCAACTCTCTCAGCCTGTCCTCACAGCAGAGCTGCTCCAGCCCTCACATCATCCTCGTGGCCTCCTCTGGACTCGTTCTAACTGGTTCATGTCTTTCTTGTGTTGGCAGCTCAGAACTGGACATTGTTAATTAAATTTTGGTTCTTCTGTAAAATAACAGCTCTACAAGAAGCCGGGGAATGAAGGAGTGAGATTCTCATGCTACTGACACTTTCTTCCCATGAGAAGCTGTGTAGCAGTGTCAGAGTTTGCAGCTGCAGGGCCATGGGGATGAGACCGTGAGAACAACAGTGTGAAAGAGTAAAGGAGATATGAGAGCTGGGGTGAAGGGTGACAGAGCGGCCGAACTACAAGTGACTGCAGACCCTTGGCAGTACAGTTTGAGGCACTTAAAGCGCCGTGCAGCACTTGACTGCCCCTCTTAATGAGCTTTATCTCAAAGGCAGAACTCTCCAGTGGTGACGCCAAAAGAAAGTGGTGAGGAATAATCAATAAAATCAAGTGGTGGGTATTGCTACGGTGGGTTCTCGGGATTCTTACAAATGAAATTGCTGAACTGTGAAGCTGTGGGTCTATCTACCACCTTTGCTCTCAGGCAGTGGAAGGCAACACCTGACTTCAGGTATTAGGAAGGGTTGCAGGAATGATCTGAGGAGCTAGAGCTGATTCCAGCTGTGCTGGACAAGTCAGTCTGATACTGAGAAAGGTTGGAATCAAGCCCCAGGATGAATGTGATGGGATGGAGAAGAGTTGTCCAGAGGTTTTGAGGGAGGAATGAATGTCTTGCAGCTCAAGGTTCAGTGAAGAAGTCAGAGTGTGTAGCTTTGGCTGCTGTAATGTGCTTTAACATCCAAAAACTTGTCAGGATCCTTCACAGAGGTTTTTAAAAACCTGAGTCCTCATGGTTTGAGACAGGCAATCCCCTTGGGGCTTAATGACTAATTGTAAATTAGGAACAACTAATCCCTCTTACAGTGGAGAACCGTCTCTGTTCTGCCTGGAGTGATGATGTATCCCAGCACATTTCTGACTTACTAGGGAAAATTAGGCTACTTTACTGGTGATGAAGTTATTCAAAGTAGTCAAAAACTGAAAAAAATTTTTTTAAAAAGTAGAATGTTGAGTGCAGCAGAGGGTATGAAATGGGCTGCAACTGCTGTGCTCAAGGCGAACACCGGGACTCCCCTCTGGCTGCACAAATGGCTGGTGCTGCCGTGTGGTGTGTGTCGTGCCAGGAGCACACCCTGAAGAGCCACTTGCTTATGGGATTAGGGCTGAACAAACACGGCTGTTCCCTCTTCCCTGCGGTGACAATATGTCCTGGTGCTGCATTTCTGGACAGGAACTGGAACGTGGCCACCTGGCCAGGGAGCTGCTTCAGCCACGCTGATGAGAGGCAGCCGGAGTCGATACTCTGCTGAGCGGGTGCTGTGATCCCAGCACAGAGCTGAGCTGTGGCAACGTTAAAGAACTGCCCCTTACACAAACAGTGATGTCTGTGCCCGGATCCAGGTCACCCCAGGACTGCACAGGCGCTCATCTTCACAACAGAGAGGTGACAGCGTGTGAACAGGATTGTAATGGGGGTGTGAATGGGATTGGACTTGGAGGAAGTGGGTCAATTGCTCACCTACCTGTCCCAGCCCCGCCTCCCCCCCCAAGTGCCAACACCTGTAATAAAGCTGTAATAAAGCTGTTCCTCAGCCCCTGAAACACCAACACAAATACTTCACTCCCCTGGGAAGCTCAAATGTGTAACCTCTGCACCAGGAGCCAGTTACAAGCAGTTAGAAAAGGCACCAAACTATTTCTCCGGTTGGCTGAAGCAGCAGTTCTTTGAGGAAGGCTGAATTTTGGCAAGCCAGAGCAGGTGGTTTGCTGGGTTCCTGTGGGGTGCCTGGCTCTGCTGTCTGAGGAAACAGCTCAGCTTCCTCCAGACCTGGGCACAGTGCTGCCTGTCCAGCTTGTTCCTCAGTACAGGGTTTTGAACAGACCAAAAATCTACCTTTGGGCAGGAAGGGAAAAAAAACCAACCCAAAACATACAAATAAAACCAGACATTTCTCTAGGTTGTAAAGTTTTTGTTTGTTTGTTTGTTTTTTTTAATGATGGCTGTTGGAAGTTGCTCAAAGGTTTGGGCTGTCACAGTCCCAGAAGAGATGGCAGCGTACAGATGAGTTCAATGTGCCATGTGGCTGTGGCGTTCGTCGTGTGCATCCTACCACATACACAGTACACACAGCAACGTACGGAGTAGCGCGCGTGGGGGTGTCTAATCAGTAGCTCCGGTTTCACGTGGTCCTTTGCACTCCTTCACCCATCATGAGACATTATCACATTGGTTTTTTTTCACTAAAATTCCAAAGTTTTGCATCTACTAGCTTCTCACTTATTTTTGTAATATGTTTGTATTTTTTTTTAATGTTTAAACACAATAAACAGCTTGGCTATGGAAATCGATTATGAAGGACAAAATACAGTTTGAGACCACACGTTATGCAGTCATAGAGGGCTCCACTGAAGTATCTATTTGTCTATCCTGCTTCACCAAGGCAATATTTGAGCACTAGTTAGAAATTCAGAATGCTAACAATCTTTCTGCTTCCTCATTCCTCATCACTGCTATCAGGAATATTTTTACCATGTTCATCATCATTGGATGTTTTTTTTTTCCTGTACTTTTTCTGTACTAACTGGACGTTCTGTGCATTGCACTGAGTAACATTCAGTTCTAGGCAGAGGGCTTACGCTAATCACCTGGTCCTTATAGTGAGTGTGCAGAGCATTTCATATGCTGACACGGCTGGCACTTCTGTCCAGGGCTGGACTTCACCGTTACCCTGCACTGCAAGAAACTCTTCTTCCATTCTTATTTAACGGGGTAGAAATACCAGCATCAACAACAAAATGGACTGAGGTTGTTGTTAGGACACAACATCCTGAACTATTCACAACTGTCAGAGGGATAAGCAGAAGCTACTGTTGTAGGAAGAGACTTGTGAAAAGTTACTAGCCAAAAGTTCAGGTATTTCTCTAACCTTTACTTGTTTTTATGTCTCTCAAATGTGGCTAGTGATGAACTCATTCTACTGTGGGGCGTACCTCCTTTGGTGCTCACCAAATATGAGCCTGTGAAGAAGTGAGCAAAAACAAAAAACAGATTTCAAAGGCATACAGTGTTTGTAACATCTACAGGAATTGGATTTAGTTTTATAAACAGGCCTAATTCTTACTGTACCTTGACTATTTCAGCAAAATATAAGGACAATCTCACTCCAAACAAACATTTCCATTCTTCTGAAACCCAACGTACAAATTCCACAATCTAGTTATACATGCCACGTAACAACAATTCACCTTTTCCCAGCATCTTAACAGGGGCAGAGTGCAGTCTACGTCTACACATATTTTTCAGTACATCGGTGACCATCGATCGGTTCATCATTTCTTGCTGATGGGAGCTCAAAACAACATCATGTGACCTTTACATATTTCTTTCATGAATGGCTCCCAAAACAAAAACATGTATTCCCATGATTATTTTTGACCCAATTATTTTGTCTTCAGATCGTCCCAATCTAGGGTTTGATGTTGCCAGGTAACATGGTGTCTGGTTTGGTGCTTCTCGAGCTTCTGCTCTGCGCTCGTTTACCTCTTTGAGTGCTTTGTGGTTCCTCATGCACGGTGCTGAGTGGCAGCGTTGATTAGTTATGAATGTACAAAACATCTGACCAGCAGGTATTGGAAAATTGTATCCAGGTACTTCCCTGGATTTTGTAATAAACTAAGAAGATCTTTTAGAATGGTTCAGCATCAGAATGTCTTCTGCTTATGATACTGAATTGTTCCTGTTCATAGATTTAACGATCTTAATTCATTTATGAGACAGCTATTAAAAAAATGGTTCTGTTCAGAGGTGGTTTAGCTACACTGGAGAATGCTGGGTTTAACAGGGAGCACTGGTGCAGGGAACTGAAGGAAGTTTCCCAGGTCAGTTGAAACCTGTCTTAAAGACTCTGACGTTGGCAGAGTGAGCCTGTGGAGGATGGCACACCAGGATGGACACGCGACTGAGGCAGTAAGAAGGAAAGAGGCTCCACACTGCAAGGCTGCCTGTCTTTTTTCCAGTTTTCCTGCTTCTTTCAGTCCCAGGCTGTCCAAAACTTGTAGGTCGCTGAAGTAGTTCTGTTTGGTAGGCTTTTCAATGCTTTTTTTTTTTCTTTTTTTTTCTTTTTTTTTTGTCCATAGTCCTCATCAGATCAATGAGTTGAAAGGTGCAGCGGGCTGTGTCATACCCACTCCTGGACAGGTCTTTTATAATAGACAACATTTTGGTGCACCTCTTTGTTTTTAAACTGGAAGATCGTGTATACCAAGACAAGGATACACAGAGACAAAATGCAAGGGATCACAACTGCGATGGCATTTACGGTGCTAGGCACATCGTTTATTGTCACCATAATATCCACGTCGTCGTGGGGGAGGCGTCTGTCTTTGCTTCGTTCAACATCCTTCTGGTTACAGCCCATCCAGTCTTTAAGGATTGACCTGGGGTAGCCTGGCTCCACGCTCAGCCGCTGGTTATCGAACTTCCAATACTCCTTCCCTTTGTAAAAGTAGGTGTAAACTAGGAGACAAAACAGAGAATATTTCTCACCACACCATTTCCAACTGGATAAGCTGGGCTTGTTCCAGGATGTGCAGGGAGCCTGAAAGGCTGGAGGTGGGAACTGCCCAGGGCAATAAAACACCTTCATCATCCAAAACCATTGAAAAGTGAAGGTGGTTCTGGTGCTGGGACTTAAAGGAGAAGCCATAACCCTGGCTTGTGGGTGCAGTGTTGCCCACAGAGCACCATTCTCTTTGGCCAAGACAAGCTGTGAATCAAAGAAAACCCCAACTACCGTTAGAAGTAAGTGTTCTGCAGTGAGTTAATTTTTACTAAAGCATCTGTAAATATGTGCTCATCACTACCAAGCAATTGCCATCATCTGCAGAATGACAGTGTGTGCCTGGGTGTGACACTGCTCCAAGAATCCTTCAGGTTTCTGTTTACCCAGCCTGAGGGAGCAGATGCTGAATGAGTCCTTTTGGCCACAGAACCCAGAAGATTTGGCCTTTGTTGAGGAGCATCTTCTCCTGCTGCTATTAAAAGGTGGATGGTTTATGCTACATGCGGGCTGAAGTACCCCTCATCTCCCCAGATGAATCCTTTTCTAATCATTCTCAAGTGATTAGAAAAAGAAAAAAAGAGAAAGGAACAGTGGTGAAAGTGTTGGGTCTCCTGCATCTGTCCTCCAGCTTGGCTGGCTCTCACTGCACTCCTCCAGCCTAGCCCAGCCCTACAGCCCTCATCTCACATCGCAGCCCCAAATTTAAACACAGCCTCAACGGCACAAACCCCTTCTGTTAGTTCTTTTCCCAACTGGAAGAAGTCTTCAAATCAGAGAAATAAATGTGTTAAGAAGGAGCCTCTGGAGGTCCGATCCCCTCCTCAGAACATGGCTCACTTAAAGGACATCAGGCAGGTTGGAGCCTGCGCAGAGCGACTGAGTTAACTACAGGTAAGAACTTAGGAGGAAAATGTAAGTTACAGCATCCTCACAATCAGGGCCCAGGAAAACTCAGGTAGAAACTCTTGTGGCAGCAAAACCAGAAGAAGTCCCCTTCCCACCCCCAGAGCTGGCATTACGATAATGTGGTTTAGTGGCTGAGGAGGTACTTGGGCTGGGTTGAGGGTCAGGAAGGATCTCAGACTGCCAGTGCTCACAGGTGTCAACGTGACCCTGGGACTTCTGAGACTTGATTCCTATCTCAGGAAATATTCAAAACACCCCACATCCAACAACCCAACTCCCAAGGCAGACAAGGTGCTACTGATCTAACAGGTGTAATGATGGCAGATACATACAGCCTTCTTTGCTGATAAAAGCTCCCTGTGGAGCTTGAGGGATTCCTCTCCACACGGTGATGGGCTTTGGGTATCCAGGGTCTGTTGCTCTCTTGTCCTCGTTGTACCTCCAGTACCTGTCACCTTTGAAGAAGTAGGTTTTGCCCACTGGCTCCCAACGCAGAGCCGTGTCAATGCCTTCCCGGGGCAGACAGCTCCCCAGCTCCACCAGACTGTGTGGGTAGCCTGGCTCCGCTGTCACCTCTTTAAAAACCCAGTATTTGTCTCCTAGAGATGAACAGGGACACAAACAACAAACAGATTTGCCTCATTAGTAGCTGAATTGATATAACTGTAAAATAGCCACAATGAACCACAGCACGTTGGGGACTTCCAGGCTTAACTGTATTATGTGAAAAAGCTGCTCCTCATCAAATTAAAAACCTCCTGATTTCATTTGCTGATCCTCAACTCTTTGTTTTGGAAGAGATGTTAAACAACCCTTCTCCATTTACCTTCTCTAGACCAGTCATGATTTCAGAGACTTCTCTCACACCCTGTCTTTGTCATCCCTCGTACAGGCTGGATTCCCTTGCAGGAGCTCAGCCCATATTTTTGATCATTTCTGTTGCCTTTCTCTGAACTTTCTCAAGTTCTAATACAGTTTATTGAGCTGAGGGACTGAAGCTGCAGACAAACATTCAGAAGACCAGGTACTGTGTTTTTGTACAGGGCAAGCCAACGCTTTCCAGCCACTCCTCCGTGCTTACAACTTGCTCTCAAGTTACAGGATCCCGTTCAGACACTGTCACAGTGCAAGGAGCTAATGTGGGCCCCAGCACAAGGCGGATCATTTTGTCTCTTCAGGAGACAACCGTCCAGAAACGTGGTGAAGAAGTGCCCTGTACCTGGAGAGGCCCTAATACCCTGTCAAAACATGTTTGAGGAGATAGGCAGGAGATGGACACTCCCTGGGAAACAGGAGCTGTTTCTTGTTATCACATGGAAGCCAACTTCCACTCATCAATATTAGCTTCATACAGAGATTGCCCTGGCAAGGCCAGCCCACGCTAAACTCGGTTGTAAAGATTAGTGGCTGCGTGAAGTGTCCCCTTGGAAAAGGACAAGGATGCAGTGCACCTGTTTTCATAGAATCATAGAATGGTTTGGGTTGGAAAGGACCTTAAAGCTCATCCAGTTCCAACCCTCCTGCCATCAGCAGGGACACCTTCCACTAGACCAGGTTGCTCAAAGCCTCATCCAGCCTGGCCTTGAACACTTCCAGGGAGGAGCAGCCACAACTTCCTTGGGCAACCTGTTCCAGTGTCTGACCACCCTCACAGTGAAGAACTTCTTCCTAATATCTCATCTAAACCTGCCCTCTTTCAGCTTAAAGCCATTTCCCCTTGTTTTGTCATTAACTGCCCTTATGAAAAGTCCCTCCCCAGCCTTCCTGGAGCCCCTTCAGGTACTGGGAGGCCGCTAGAAGGTCTCCCCAGAGCCTTCTCTTCTCCAGGCTGAACAGCCCCAGCTGTCCAGCCCTCGCATCATCCTCGTGGCCTCCTCTGGACTCGTTCTAGCTGCTCCAGGTCTCTCTTGTGGGAGACCATCTTCATGCCATAAAAGAGTGTGATGTGAGGCAGGTGTGGTAGGCTGGTACTGAAATCTACTGTACCTTTGAAGAAAACGAATTTTCCATCAGACCGCTCATAGGCTGCATCAATCTTTGCGGGGAGACCTTTCCAGAACTGCTCGATTTGCATGGGGTATCCCTCCTGCACCCGGTTGTTACGCAGACGCCAGAACCAGCGATCCTGGGAAAACCAGAAGCGTCTTCAGACTGAGTATTTTTATTTTGCATTCAAGCATTGCTAATCCCTGCCCAGGCCCCGTAACCATTAAAGACAGAAGTCCTGCTTCAGATGACAGCTCCAGCCCAGCCCAACACTGTCTCCAGTGAGGGAAGTGCTTCATAGGGAAGATGGCAGCCAAAAGGGTGAGAAGTTGCTTGCTGGTGCTGTGAAAACGGGTGGAAAGAAGGAGAGGAAAAAGGAGCAGGGGGAAGCAAGTCCACAGTTACACGCGTTATGAACTAATATGTGAGTGACCTCTGTGTGTCTCCTCACTGAGGTGTCACGTTTGTCCTGGTACCACTGGTGCTCAACTGTCAGACCCCAGGAGAGCCATAGAGCCTTACCATTACCTGGTGACTGTGTGAGGCACACAACGTCCAAAGGCACAAAAGAGTTATTAACTGTCCCTTTATATACGAGATCATTCGTTAAAGCCGTAGTGGATGCTCAGGGATGAGTAAGAGCAGGACAGAGCCTGTGAGACTTCTCCCAGATACTGTCCCAGCCTTCAGCTACTTTCAGTTCAGGCATTTTCTGCAACTGATGTGGTCTGTTCATTGAATGACCTTCAATATAAGGTCCTTCAACCTTCAACCCTCTCCAGATTCACACCCATTGGGCAGAGTGAAAGCTACAGGCATTTTGGGAATGAGACTAGGAATTTCAATGCTCCAGGCTCTCTGACGTGGGTTACTGACCAAACCTGCTCCTCTCAAGCAAAGTTGACTGAAACTCCCCAAGAGCTTCAGGCAGGCTGAGTGCTCCCTGAAGCCCAGGGTTCAATGCATGTCATCTCTGGAGGCAACAAGGATTAATCCCTGGTTAGGTACTGATATTGCTTTCTGGCTTCACAGGTGGCTCCTCTCTGAGCTTGATGGTGTCTGCATTCTCTGTTAGTTCACATTTTGGCGCACAGGCTGCCTGAGCATTTTGTGAATCCCATCAGGCACTGCTTCCAAATATTACAGAGTCAAATCTGCTTACGTTTCCTTCTAATATTGCTCATTCACAGCCTCAGAGGAACAGAACTGTTTTCACAGACATTTCAAATCTCACTACCTCATACTTCTATTAATCTTTTCCAGCAATAAAACTAAAGGAAGACTCATGGGTAAGCAGGAATTCTTAGTACCTTGAAAACAAACATTTCTCCTCTAAAGAGAGCAACGGTGTTGAAGTTGCCATCACAGATGTTCGGTTTCGTGCCGGGAGGAGATGGCCTATCACCCAGAGGAGGACTGGGAGGTCTTGGCTGTCTCTCATGTTTTCTTTCTGAAGTGGAGTGAATTCTGCGAACAGGAAGAGTTGGTAAAGGCCTGGTTGGCTCCAGGGGCTCAACAGGAGGACCTAGAAGTGAAAAGAAAAATGTTAAGCAAAGTGGACGAGCTTGGATTTTCTGTGCTGCCCTTATAGGTTTTAAAAGGCACCAGGTTGGATGAACAGCACTGCGAGGGATTTACGTACTCCTAACACAGAGCTCACGTCCTAGAAATGGGGAGCAGAATGAGATGCATCCACACGTGAAAGATGTTCCAAACCAGGTCAGCGATAAGAACTGAAGAAGAGCCAGTATGTTTTTGTAGGTCTTCCCAAGAAGGCTGGAGCTAAAAGGAAGGAGAAGCCACACCAATCATGTTCCCAACTGAAATAAAAGGTAATAACCCTTGGATAGAAATGTTTAGTAGACCATAAGAAAAAACCAAACCAAACAAACCACAAAAAAAACCCCCAAATAAAATGAAACAAAAGTAGAAAAAAAATTAGAGTGTGAAAGCCAATGCTACAGTCTAAGGGGAACTCTAGAGGAATTCAGAAATTAGAAAGCAATTACTTTATTACAGCTTAGTCACCAATCTTTGCTTTGAGAACACCAGGGGTACTCTGATGAACAGCCGAGGTAAGGGACCATGCTCTCATTCAGAGATGCCCCCCACAAGCACAGCTCTCCCTTCGATCCTTACCCAGCTCAGCTCTGAGATCTGACAAGGCTGCGGGAATGTGAGGAGTTAGAAAAATACAAGTGACTTAGAGCAGAAGTCTGCTTTTAAACCAACCTTGCCATAGGATGATTTCATTAACAGTGATAAAATCTGGACCAAAACGAATTAGAAGAGTCAGAGATTTCTTGTTGCTTCTCAGAGGTCACAAGTTAGTAGGGCAATAAGCAGAAGGCTACTAGAAGCAAGAGATTTTTGGCAAGTTTTATATCTGATGTAATCAAATGGGATTCGATTCTTTATTCACATGGATGATGGTTCCAGTCTCTTTCTGAACAGTGTAGAGAGATTGCAGGACAAACCCCCAGCAGTGGGCAGAATGGGGGCTGAGGCTCACGGCTGCTGTATCAATCTCACTGTTTTTGGGGGTCAGCAGCACCACTGATGGGCTTCACACCAGCTGGTCTGACTGAACACTTGCACTGGACAAGGCTCATCCTCTCGGGCTGAAGGAGAGTTACACTGTTGTGGGTGATGGATGGCCTTGCCCATGCCCAGAGGAGGAATTTACGTGGAAGGATTGAGACACCCACAGAGGCTCTGCACCTGTGGGATTAGAAGAAGACTTTTGCAGATAAACATTTTGAACTATGGTGCTTAAAATGATGGTTAGGTGCCCAAGTTCCCATGTCAACTGAGCTCTTCAATGTTATATTTTCAAAGTGTTCCTATCATGAATGTGTGCTTAACTTGTCCTGCATTTGGATGTGCCAGTGAGATATTCCAGATTGTATCCTGTCATGTTCAGTGCATTATCCGGGGCTGACTGGAAAGGGGGGGATTCTCTCTGGCTTTGGCTCGGGCTCTGGCTCTCCCGGGATTGCGGTTTCGGTTCAGGATTGTCGCTCCTCCGGGATCGTGATCTGGGAACGGGCCGGGCTTAGTTGGCGGGTGATGAGCAATGGCACTGGGTGTCACTCATTTGCATATTTTATTACTGTTATCATTATCACTACTATTTTAATATTAGGGTTTTTTTTTTAAGTTTTCTTTTATTTCTATTATTAGACTGTTCTTCTCTCACCCTACAAGCCTCCTAATCCTTGCCCTGAATCCTCTCCCCTATCCCCTGGGGGTGGGGGGGCAGTGGGTGAACAGCTGTGGTGGCTGCTGGCCAAGGGCCGGCCCAGGGAAACGATCACAATCTTTTAAATAACTTTTCCAAACTGTGAACAGCTGCTGCTAGTGATCTGTGAATTCTCCATGCAGCAGAGCTCTCCAGGCATCTCTTGCCATAGGAGCAAGAGGGCTGGAGCCCCTTGTTAGCCAGGCAGTATGGGTACATCCCCACTGGTGTTTCAGTTCAGCTCAGGAGTCCCTTTGGAAGAGATGCTCCGTTGTTTGCAATTTCTGTGCTTTGATTCACCTGGAAGTTCAGGAAATGCTGAAATGTCTTTTTGGACAAAGCTGAAATTGAAGACACACTTCTGGAGCACAGGTAGGAAGGATACTGCAGCTGCAAACAGGTATCACAGGGCACAGCTACAGCTCATCCACAATAACCACCCCGCTCCCCGACGTGCATACAGAGGGGGTCTCAAGTCCTCAGCACCCTATTTACTTAACACCATCCCTACACACTGCTCTGTCTACGTATGTGCTACTATTACTCTTGCCAGCAGCCACAGACATTGTTTGTTAATAGAGCCACAGGCAACTTACTGTGGTGTGAAGCACATGGGCTGTGCAAAGGCATCTCCTCCAACAAGCAGCATGCTAGCTGGCACTTCTGCTTCAAGCTGGAGAGCTCATGGGGGTAGGATTGAGTTGGTACAGTGGGACATGCTGCAGGGGAAGGGATGGGAATGGGGAACGAGGTGCTGGACAGGTCTGACACAAAGCAAGCTGAGGTTCTGGTTTGTTCAGATGGGACGTGGGAGCACAATGTTCAGCTTTGGTGAATTAAAGGAGCAGGAAGCTGGTAACTTGTTTGGGCTGCCAAAAATGGGACTTGTTGTCAGTTATAGTACCTGAATAAATTAAATTTGAAAACCAGCAATTTACATGCCTGGTGAAGAGAGGAAATGCTTGCATTAAGGGAAGGGAAGTCTTGACTGAGACCTTAGCAAGGAAACAATAAGCAGGGACTCACTACACAGCGCAGGTCTCATTAAACAGCAGTGTGACACTCACCCTCACGGCTTTGAGCGGATCTGTTTTCTAAATAACGTTGAAAAAACTCTAATGCATGTCCCACGTGATAGGATTCCTCTGCCAACAGACTGATACAAGGATCAGCTTTTTAAATGAGACTGTAGCATGTTGCTACAGAAGCACAAGAGAGGTGCAGTTGTTCGTTCCCTCCCCTTCAGAAGAGGCTAACGCTGCCATGCACTAACCAAACCAGCGATGCATTTCTGTTGCCATCTAGGGATCAGAAAAGCCTCTTTGCTGGTCAATTTATCTGATACAGTGGAATAATTTCATCAGACAGCTATTTGGTAGTTTGCAGAAGACCACGACCAGCTCCATCACAGGATAGATTTCTGTGTTGTGAGAGGCAGCTAGAAGCAAATTCACAACATGATTGTAAGGAGGACTCCAAGCAGCACTGTGGCCCTTGAGATGTGCAGCGATCTGCAATGCAGAGATTCCTGGCACCTGCTGTCAGAGGGAATTGTCTGGGAGGGACCCAAGAAGTCACTGTGTGTTATGTATTCAAACTGCTCCCTGGAAAGACACAGAGCGCAAAAGGGAGAGATTGCCAAGTTGTGTCAGTTCTGCTTCTCAGCAACAGCAAAGGGATAGATACTGAAACCAACAGCAGTTCTGGATTTCCAGAAATAACAACCCAAAACCTCCACATTTTGAGAGCAGAAGAGAGCAAAAACTGAGTTTTGTACAGATGACCATGTGCAGTAAGACGAGGACATGACATTAATTTTTCTCCCCTCTCTTTTAAAGGAAAAAAGAGTGAGACAGAAGTAATACAGAATCATAGAATCATTGTGGTTGGAAAAGACCTTTAAGACCACTGAGTCCAACCATAAACCCAACGCTGACAAGTCCCCAACTAACCCATGTCCCTCAGCACTGTGTCTACACGACTCCTCAATCCCTCCAGGGATGGGGACTCCACCACTGCCCTGGGCAACCCCTTCCAATGCCTCAGAACCCTTTCAGCAAAGAAATTCTTCCTCACATCCCATCTCAACTGCCCTGGCCACAACTGGAGCCCATTTCCTCTTGTCCTGTCCCTTGTTACTTGGGAGAAGAAATCAACCCCCAACTCTCTCCACCCTCCTTTCAGGGAGTTGTAGAGAGCCAGAAGGTCTCCATTCAGCCTCCTTTTCTCCAGATCAAACAACCCTAGACACACAGAATCTGACAGTAAGGTGCAGAACAGGGACTACAGTACTGTGGTCATATGCTAGAAATTTAACGTCTCATGCATAATTGGAGTTATTAAAGATTCACTCTCTCTTCACAAGTGAGGACCACTCGTATGCCAGGTTACAGCCTGCCCTGCCCCTGCTGCAGGACAGCAGCCATGTTCAACTCTCTCATGTTCAACTTAAGTGCCCAAAGTCTGTCACAGTCTTTTGGAGAGAAGAGGAAAGTTAAGATAGCACCTGCAACCCAGGGGACCAATGTAAAGGTTTGAATTAGTCCTAAGATGCCACTGAAACAGAACGCAGTACACATGGAAGGCAGAAGCAGATGTCAGGATGGTGCAAATCAGCAAAGATCCAGGTGAACCAGAGATTTGCATTGACTGAAACATTTGCTAGAGCAGTGGGAAGAGATCACAAGTCAGGATCAACAATGGACACTGGGCCACCAGTACATACTCACTGCTTCTAATGGCCAGACTTGCTCTGAAGGAGGTACCCAGCACTGACAAGGCTTCCCACACATTTTGCAGCTGGTACTGCAACTTGCTTGGATACAGACTTCATAATTTCACTTAAAGCATTCCTCTTACTGTCTTTCCCTGCCAGCCATAGATTTTTCCTTCCTATCTTTCACTTCTCTTCTTGTTTTTATGCATTATGGGCCTTCTAATTTATCCTGATCGAAATCTTGTCTCCTCCTGTGGTTACACAGATTGCATTTTGCATCTTTTATTTTTAATTGCTTCCTTTGCTTTGTCACTGAGTGAGTGAGGGTGGACTTCCAGCTAAAGGTGGAAGGTAATCCTACAGTTATGCACATGCAAAGAGCAGAGGAGCACACATGAAAATCCTCAGGTCCAAGTGCTAAGCAGGCAGAATTTGGTCTGCAGTTAGGGGGATGGAAAGCAGAAGCACAGCCTGTCCATTGCTGAAGAAAGATGCTATCTCATAAGACCTAAGCCAAACAGAGCACAACCTGGCATGAGAGCAGAATGAAGAGACACTCTATAGTTTGCAAGTCAGTACTATTTGCAGAACCTCATCACAGTAACCTGCCTCCGAAACAGATGGCTAAAGGCAGGGTAGAACAGGTTTATCAGCAGCAGAGATGACCATGTGAGCAAAGAGTTACTTAAGAGACGCTGGCATCCTGGTCGTTATTAGAGGAACTGATTACACCCACCACTGCTATAACTGACCAGGCAGCATCGCACACAAACCGCAGCTTCTGTCACTGCGTCTCCAAGCGACTTCAGAGAATCAGTCAGAGCAAATCTCATCAAAAAAAAAACTGAGAGAGGCTATTGCACGGGTCTGCAATTAGAACCTGGTCACCTAGTTATTGTGTGTGATCCCAGCACTGGAGCTGAACCCACCCCCGGGGCTGAACCTGCGGCCACTTCCATACAGGAAGCAGGTAAGAAACCTCCTGGAGATGGAAACTCTACGTTCTGGAGGAAAGCAACTTGCTGGGACTTTACAAACACTGTGTGGAGAAGAAGACTTTCTTCCTCTCTATCACAACCAAGGCAAAGAATGTCAGAAAGCTTTTGGGTCACAGCAGATCACCTTCAGAGTGTGACTTCCGCCACTGGCACTTAGCCTCCTCCCTTCATGCTTCCTCTGTCGCAGACCATCTGAATACCAAGGTGACCTGTGAAGATAACACAGAGAGAGGAGGCATTTAGGAGCCACTGTGTCGATAGTTGAGGACAAAATATAATTGTACTGTCCTCCTGGCTATTGACAGAGTGTTCCCTCAACTGCACAACACCTGCCTGGAGGCTCAGCATCTTGCATGGCTCAGCACCCTCACAGCCAGCTCTGCGCGAAGCAGGCGGCTCGCCAAGCCTGCCGGTGCAGAGGACGCCCTTTGATTCAGATCAGAGGAGATAAGGATCCACCTGCAAACAAAGTCTTTATTTTCTTAACATTCACTCCAAGAATAAAACTATCACCCAGACTGCAGGCAGGCAGTTATGCTTTTCAATAACACACAGGGGTTTGTTGGTTGTAAAAAGCTGAGCTGCCTGCAGGTTTCTGCAGGACTGTACCAGCTGTCCAGGCACACAGAAGGCTCCTCAGTTTCAAATCAAAATGAATGATCCAAGTGAGCCAGGGAGAGTGAGAGAAACCCACCTGGCTGCTCTGCAGAGTCCAGGGCAGCGGACAAAGGTTCATATCAAATTAGAAGTTCATATCAAATGAGCTAGCTGCCAACAAGCTATCTCAGGGATGAGGGACAGTCCATCCACAACAGTGCAGAGCTCAGGAAGGACCCATTTCCCTTGATTGCTTGGTAACCTGTCCAAAGAGCACTTTGCACTCCTGGGGTTAGACTTCAGCAGTGAATTAGCTGTTTCACTCTGGGTATCCTTGCTGCTGCGCTACAGTCTGCGGAACAAGCCTCAGCATCCACAGCTTACCCCAGGTTGTGCAGTCACAGCCCTCGTGATCATCACTGGGTGGGCAGGAAGGGTTTCTTGAGCCCTTCTTGCATAGATGTTCTCCTCTGAATGACCAACTACTACCCAGGTGATAGAGCATTCACCTGGAAGACAAACATCCATGGCTGAAATCCTTGCTCTCAGCCAAAGGGAACGCTCTCCTGGGCTCTGTAACAAGGTGATTCACCTTGCAGTTGGGTTCTCTGCTTTAGGTACAAGAAAACTGGGTCCAAAATTCCCAGGCTTAGGCAGGCAAATGATGAGAGTTTGGGGCTCTGCAAGATGCTTCAGCTGTGGTGCTTGCAGCCCAGTTCCCCTCTAGAAAAACTTTAAGCAGCTTGACATCGGCTCCACTGCAAAACAATATTTTTTTAATACTCAGAAAGATCTATAGGATGAGAGAAGTACTTAATGCCCAGCCATAACATAAAGCAGTGTTTCTCCATCTGCTGAGAAACCTCTCAAAGATGTGGCTCCTCCTTCTTTAGGAGGCAGCTGATCAACATGATCAGTTCCCTCCTCTCACACCCAGTGTGACAGCTCCAGGGCCCTACTACGAGCACAGCACCATGGGGCATGGATCCAAAAATCCCAATCTTGCAGCTTCTACAGATAAGGTCTTGGTTGTTACTCTATTCTCTTCCCACATTCAAGAGGATGGTATCAGAAAACAGTTCTATGTCTAATGTTTCCAGGTCCTGCATGACAGCAAAGCTTGCTCTGATGGTCCCACTCACAATGCAGTGTCACCACATGGAGCATTTTGCATCAGGTCTTTCTGCTGTTTCATCACAACCCATCTCACACACAGATGTAGGTTACAAGGATCTGGGATTGCTCGATGGGTGGCCATTGGGAAAAGATGAGGGAGGTTATGAAACCCATGACTGCTGCACAGGAGTACTGAGGCTGGCCGAAGGTGTTATGTGCTCATGGACACTGTGATCTGCTTGATCCCCTGTTCCTTGATGTCAGAGGTGGTGTTGTCTAGTTCCTCGGCCAGGGGCTGGTGTGGTTTCATGACCACCTTGGACCTCAACCCTCATGGGATGCAGCATGTACACAGGTCTTCTCCTCAGCTGCAGAAAAGATATATGGGGTTGACACATCCTCAGTGAGATTTGGGAGGACCCAGATCCTTGAGGTTGTATCCAGGCTTAATTATTTGGTCTATCTTTGAGTGATTAGGAGACCCTTCCTTTGTGACCTTAGGCTTTGAAAGGGCCTTGAAGATAATGGCCTGGTTTACCAGCTCCAAGCATCTGTGTGGACATGAGTTTTCCCTGCACACCATGTCAACCCTGCTGCTCCCCAGGCAGAGTGTCAGAAGAGTCACTCCTAACATGAGAGGCTGCTTCACAGCAAAGGAGGATGGGAAGAACAGGAGAACCAGTGCTGAAGGATTATCACTTCAGGTTGTGTGACAAGGTCAAGGCTGAGCGTGTCTCCTCTCTCCACCTGCACTGCAGCTGCATGCAGCCCTGATTTCAACACTATCAAAATTCAGAGGCAGTCAACTTAAGAGGACATCAGGGAACCTACATAATAGTATTATTTCCAGCTTTAATTCCTTCCTGGACATGTCACCTTTGACATGGGCAGATAAGTACAGTGGGAGATAGATATCCTTCTGAAAAAGAACAGTCGTGGTATTTCTTCAGGAACATGCTACAAGAAGCAGCTCTCAGAAGATGGAAATACTGCTGGCTTGTCTTACAGTCTGCTCTGTCACACACAGTGAGCTGCTGGCCTCTTCATCATTAGCTCCTAATTGGAAATAACATTTTAAACATTGACCTTCTACTAACCAGCATGAAGCACGAACAAGAGTTCACATCACCTGCTGTCTCTTTAGGTGAGTTTTGAAATAAATCCAGCAGAAAATAACTTAATAATTCAACCAATCATTATGTGACAGATTTAGACATATTTCTTTCCTAATGGATAAACACAGATACATCAAAATACACTTGAAACACACCATTCTCAAAAGAAAGAGACAAAACTGACTTAAGCTTTCGTAGAGTCTCTGTTCTTTGTTCTAGCAACTTCTGTGGAATGAAAAATTGGAAGTTTTAATTGAATTTACTTTTTAAAGAAGGATACTACAGGTAAGGCGGTGGCTCTGGTTCTCTGACTTATTTTGCATAGTAGGTTCCTAAATAATATGTATTGAGCACATGTTACTGCACTGGAGAGAATGTCAAAGTAGCAAGAAAGCAGGAGGTTTCGATTTTTGGCCAGGTGCTCTGGTAGATGGGCTTTTGGCATTCCCAAAGCACAACAAAGCAGATGGGCACTGTGGAAATAAAACAGTTAAATGTTCCTGCTAAAGCTGCAAGAAGGATATTTCAGCAGTCCCTTCTCAGTTGTAAGAAGCTGAGATGAAAGGATCTGTTCTCGTATCTCCCATAACCTGCATTTGCCACCTTTTCCTTGTGAACCGTAAGAGTAAAACCAAGTTTTAAATGAAACTTTAGTTTTTGGACTGTAACTCTGTGCTAAGGGCTGAAATCTCTACCTGGGGAGTCAAAGCTCCTGCTGCAGAAGCTGCTCCTCCTCCTCACGGGACTAGTTATCTCTACAACATCATCCCCAAACCCCTGCAGTTCAAAGGCCTCAGAGAAGAGTCTTGCGTGATTCTACCACAGTCAACAAACTAATTCCTAATTACTACCCGCACCAGGGAGTAATTAATTCATACTGCTTTTTCCAAACTAAATTAAAATTTTAAGCATATTATATGGCACACAGAGAATTTTAACATAATATGTAGGTAAAGTTTAATGTCACTACATAAGTGAGAAATAGGTGGAAGTGCAGTGGTGGTGCTGCCAAGCCGCAGGCAGTACGGTACTGAGCTCTCTGCTCTCACAGCTGTGCCCAAAAAGCTGTGCAGTGCTCTCACAAATTGTCAGAGCCCTGAGGACACTAACTGGTCTTAATGACCCTGACCAGCATCACCTGGTACCTCCACCTCCCACCCATGGGCCCAGGAGCCCCATTTCAGTTCAGCCCTGGGCACTGGGTCCCTGCCCAAGCTGTGCTGGGGGAGTGCTGGTCCCCAGCTCACCCACAACTGATACTGGCTTGAACCACAAAGGTGAAGGAGCATGGCTGTCAATTCCTTATCTGCTCCCTTTCTAAAAACTTATCTGAAAACAGAGAAACCAGTCACTTTTCTTGATTGCATTTTCACTGTCAGCGATAAATTAAGATTATTTTTTTTCCTTCTGATTAGTCAAAGTTCACAAGAACCAAATCAACGTTTCAAAACAGAAATAGCATCATGACATTCTACCAGCTTTCAAAAATGAAAACTTAGGTATATTAAGTTCAATACTTACTACTCCAGCACTTTATTCCAAAACCATCCAGAGTCTCTGTTATCCTGAGTATTTGAATATATACTGTGTTAAAATATGCAGAATTAAATGATACCATAGGACAGTTGCCATGCAACTTCATCCTGGAGCCAGTTCCCCCTGGGTGTACTTCAAGCCATCTTATGTTAAATGTTGGACCTCACCTGGCTCCCTGCCTTACAGCGAGGATGACCTGCACTCTACAGATGCCTGTTTTTTTCCCAGTGCCCAGACAGGAGTCAGGGAAACTATCCCAGAGAGAGAGAGATCTCTCTTCTTTAGGCATCTCCATTTGAAATCAGACTCCAACAACTGCCATCCAGTTTAGACCTCTAAAGTCTTGCTGTTCTGCTTTAGAGTCCTACAGGTCTTGGCCCAAATACTGTCAGTAGAAATTTCAGATTCACTGATGCAAATGTTGACTAGTGTCAGGTCTGCCACCAATCCCAGCAGCAATCCCTTAGAAACACCAGCTTTCCCACCGACAACCACCTTACAAGGTTTTTTCCAGGTCTAATTCATATATCTGCTCTAACTGGTACTGGGAGCTAATATTTGACTCCAGATGTCAAGCAGCTGCGAATGTTCATAGCTACATAGCAGAGTTGTTCAATGCTACATTTAAGTCACCTCTCTGTCAAACTTGTACTTCCCTGAAAGAATGAAATCAGGGATGTTTGACAAAATCTGTTTTCCATGGGCTGTGACAGACTGCACCCATTAGCATCTTCTAGCTTGACCCCCCTTCTCTGTGGCTCCTAGAACTTGCATTTCCCTCTGCTCCCAGAG